CACACACACACACACACACACACACACACACACACACACACACACACACACACACACACACACAGTATTCCCCTTGGACGGGAGCAGGGAGGGTGTGTGTGTGATAGCAGATAGCAGTTCTCCATGACGCTGCCTCCAGACGACAGCGGCATGTGACTCTGCTTCATCTCAGTTACACACAGAGAGTCCACAAATGCAGCCTGACAACAACAACAAGAAGTCAGCCCTATCTCTGTTATCAGCTTAGAGGAAGGGGGGACGGGGGTGGGCAGGGGAAAAACAGTGGGTGTAAAGAAACTAGAGAAAAAGGGAAGGAGAAGGTTTGGGAGTAAAGATAAAGGACAAGAATTATATTTATTAATGAATCCGTTTACATCAATAACACAACAAAGGTTTAGAATGGAATTTATGCACAGTTCGACTAAATTTATTTACTCAAGTACCACTTGATAATATATACTCATAATTCTTACAATGCAGAGAAGAAAAACTTTTATTTAGATGCAATTAAATGTCCTTATGTTATTTGAACAAGTTCATGTTGTATGCACAATAATGGTCATTTGCAAACAGCTGAAACAGTAGCTTAAAGGAGACACATCATGCTAAATGCACTTTTTTGCATTTATAAATGATTTTTTGTGCAATTATAGTGTCTAGGAGTGTAGAAAACTTGAATTTATACTGTCCAGTTACTGCAAAGATATTTTTATATTTTTTATGGGTCAAATTTTTCAGTTTGTTCAAAATCTGCTGTTGCTTATTTCGTTTCATTGTTTATTTCGTCAGACTTTTTTCTTCAGAACTACCATTGATGGTAATGTATTTCCGGCCAACTGGTTTTCGTTGTCCGCCATTTTTTTCCTCGCTGTGTGATTTTGTAGTTCATGTCGAATATGCAAGTTCAGAAGTCAAAATGTTCAGTTCTGGGGTGTGTAAACCCACATTATTATCTACATAGACTACCAGTGTCCGAGCTTCTTCAAAGTGCCTGGTTAAGTTTTATTTTTCAAGGAAATGGACCCACAACAGGGCGGAAAGTGCTTGTGGACAACACAGGATGAATGTTACAACAACAAGGGTGAGTTATGAACTGTAAATGTGTTTTAACTGTCTAATTTAGCTGTTTCTACCCTCTGTGTCGGAATATGAGGGGAGAAAGAACAGCTGTGTTTGTTTCTTTACCAAACGGGTGCTCAGCACCATGTTTTACTTTCACTTTCGCCCCACACTGTAATCAGCGTGTCCATGTTGTTTTTCTTTTTAAAAATGCTGGAGCATTTCAAACTGTGATCTAAAGTTAACGTCAGCTGTTTTAAATGCTTTTTTTTGCCTGGTGTTAAAAATGGGAGCAGCAGAATGAGGCAGAGAAGCTGTGAGCGCTGTGTGTGTGAAGTCCTCATAAGGATAGCAAGATGGATGTGTGTCTCTCCTTTTTTTCTGTGTTGCTGTTTTTGCATCAAAAAAGCTGGGAACATGGCCATTTTATGTAACAAAATATATTAATCATATTAATATACAAATAAAAACAGAATATTTAGCACTAGATAAAATAAGTAATGAATTTATTTATTTTTATTTTTTAAGAAAGGGCTGAAAGAAGAAATCCTTTGTGGCAGCACTTTATACAGCCTCTTCAGACAAGGCTTAGTTAATAAATGTTTTTTTTAGTTTGTTTTGTTTTAAATTAAGACTTRTGTAACATTTGTTATCATTCTTATTTTTATCATGTTAATGGAGGGAGGAAGAAAAAGTAGTATCGGCAAGAATCAAGAATCGGCCAAAAAGTATCGGCTGCAGTGTTGTTTTAGTCACTCTGTATTTTTTTTTTTTTCGTTATTCAAAATACTGTGTGTTAGATTAGTTTTAATGGTGCAACTTCAAACTAACATGTAATATTCTTTTATGTTATTTTAACCAGATTGTACCTGACTGCAATGCATTTCAATGAAAACGCACGTCTGCAGGCAACTATCTCATCTGGAGAGCACATGTAGATTATTCTTTCCCAAGTTCAAGAAGGGAGAAGGCACAGCAAAGCCTATCAGAACTCCCGAAACCCTAAGTAAGTCTTACCACATTAGTCACTTTTAGTATGCCAACTTGATTTCAATAAATCAAAATCATCCATACTTTAATTATATCTCTCTTATTCAAAGTYGTGTCACAAGGGCATGTGATGTGTGAAAGTGTTGAATGAGAAACTTTTCCTCACAATGTTAAACAAAAATTACAAAAATAAGTGACACTTTACTGTTTCTACTATGCAAAGACTGTGTACATTTTAATGTTGTTGATGTTTTCCAGACTGTGCTGTGGATTCATCTCCAGTTGTCTCAGACAAGGCCAGCATCACCACACCACCTCCTGATGCAAGCGTCTTCACTACACATCCTGATGCATGCGGCTTCACTACACGTCCTGATGCCACATCTTCACACCACCTTCTGCACCACATCTGAACTCAGTCCACACCCAGTGGGAGGTACCCTTCACAACAGGATCACACGTACTTCCACACATCTCGCAGAAAGGACGTGCAGGACAAGATGACTGATTGCGTATTTGTGACCCATCATATCAAAATGAGGGTTAAGTCGAATTTGGTCAAAATGACCTATTTACATTTTCAGATTCTTGGCTTTAAAAGCTACATTTTGATACCTGGTTCATTCTGATATCATAATTAAATCCATATATATGGCTCAATTTGTCTTGTTGGTTACAATAATACATAAATATTTGGTCTGAATCCTAATTTTATGTCCTTTTAATGAGGAGTTGTTGATGTCCTTTTTAAGAGGAAACCTCAAATTTTATTTGAATATTGAGATTTCCCAGCTAAAAAAAAACAACACTTTGCTAGCTCACAGGGTAAATCTTAAAAATTTAAGGTGTTTTTACTCAAAGTCAGTTTTTTTTTGTTGCTATTGTTCAAAATAGTGCTTCACAATTTTGTTTTATGATTATATTTCAGACAGTTAATTCAACTGATACATTGATAAGGCTTTTATTCATTATATTTTGACAAAATGCAATTTTTGTTAACATTTTAGTCAAAACTATTTTTGCCTATTTCTCCATACATCACATTTGGACTTAATCCTCATGTCAATGTGATGGGTCACATTTCATTCTACAAAAAAATTCAGGATTTTTTACTGTGTTCTGTGTGCCTTTAAACTTCAATTTTTGTCATAAAAACATTTTACTGCAAGTTGAACTTTGTGTATGTGATAAATTTATTTGATTTGATTGCTCCCATTTTTATCTTCTGTTGCTAATATATTTTATGAAGGCAATGCATTCCACATACAGAAAAAGCTATTGAACAAATATAATTTTGCATTTTAGATAAAAATGATTTTTATCAAAACCATAAATGTAATTTGACACTTTATTGTTTATCAAGGAGTAATGAAGTACATAAATTCTTACATTCAATGTTGTCAGTACATCATMATGTCACTTTCCAATTAGTGTTTTCTGGAGAAGGAAAAGTGGCTGAATCTGTGCTTTGCTAATAACACCATTTCTGAAGTCTTTGTGTGAAAGATGATGAGGTGTGTTTGGGAGTCCTTCTGTCATTAAAGCCCTGGAGTTAGAGTTGAAATGATGCTCTGCCTTGTGGTGTTTGAAATTTATCTGGCTTAGACGTTTAGGTTCCAGATTCTTTGCTGTCCCACAGACCTGTGACATACAATATTAGTTACAGTTCCAAAGTAGAATGTGACTGATCATTTAATTATGATTTAAGTTCTGATTTGACATATGGAAATCAATAGGCTAATTGGTAATGAAAAATCAAAACAATTACATTTTATTTGCTTTTTGTACATTTCAAACTAACTGTCAAGCATAAAAATCAATTTATTTAAAATAATTTCACATCTATACAGTGAGTGTGAGTATATTGTAGTTGTTCAATTAAAAATACTTTATTGATCACAAAAGTAAATTATATAATATAATAGTAGTTCAAATGCATGTATTTTAGTTTAGCTATGCTCCCCAGTGTAGGTAAGGACTTAGAGTGTATAAATAAATAACGTACCACTGTGACACATTCGTTTGAAGACGTGGTTCTGCAGGTTTATAATTCTGAGTGTCTTGCACTGTGTCAGACTCTGGCTCGTACATATACGGCTGGATTGACAAGTCTACCGTTGTTGACATCCTTATACTTTCTTGCCATCTGGCATCACTAATATGCACCTTCATWTACATTCATTTTTGTACTGTACTTTACGGTGTATATATGTATATAAATAAGCATATGTGTTTATGTATGTGTATATGTGCATTGGTACATTACTATATATCACACGTATATATTGTGGGGTTTTGTTTATCTTTTATTAATCTTTCATTATTCTTCTCAGCCTGTCTTGTATTAAGTTGCAGTAATGTGCAAATTTCCAGACTGTGGGATCAATAAAGTTTTATCTTATCTTATTTTATCTTAAAAATAGTTTTTAGTCAGTAGATAACTGTGTTTTTGCTATGAAACTACAAACATGGCAGAACGGGGTAGAGTCGAACGTTCAGCGACCTGGAGGGGGCGGGGTGTGAAATATCTCATTTTTATTTAAAGAGACCGCACCAAAACAGCTTGCTCTGAGGCGTAACTCAGAACAGGGGTACAGCAAGAAAAGCAAGGAGTCTGTGGAGCAACAAAAACGAGAAATTAAGACCAAAGCGTTGCACTTTTATTTTAAATAGACCATTAGTGAATGATTTAGACATGAAAAAGAAGGATTTAAAAGCATGATATGATACCTTTAATAAATAATTCAAAAGACCGAAAAGAACAACACTGACCACTGTTTTGATCCACTGCATTTCTTTTTAAGTCAGAAGAAAAGAAACTATTAGATGAATAAAGACATCCCCTTTGAATTTATAGTGGGAATGGGAGAGAAGAGGAAGGTCAGTCGGCAAAGACAAGGTAGAAAAAAAACTTTAGAGCACTCAAATAACATTGGAAAAGAAAAAAAGAGCTGGTTAGTTAAAAATGTAAAGAAAAGGAGGGAAATGCATAAACGAAATGATACAGCTTAAACAAAACGAATACATTACACTAGGGCCGGGTAAAAAAATGTTTTAAATGTTCTTGGATCAATTTAATTTAAATTTAGGAATATTGATTTATAGGACATGAGATGGATTTTTCCCCATTGTGTCTTGTGACCATGGCGACTTTTGTTTGTAAAGATTTAAGCAGGCTTTGAGCGGCTCATTCAGGTGCTTGAACCAAAGCTACTGTATGTAAACATCTGACTGTAACTGTTCTCCCCGGCATGTAGAAATGTGTGAAAGATGAAATTCTAACAAAATCATTCAAGTTTTTTTTTACCAATATTATTTGAAACTTTATGAAACATCTTGATGAAATTCACAGTGATGAAATGTTGTATTTGTATCATTTTTTCTTTTTTGTTTTAAGTTTTATTGAACAGAAGGTAACAGAGACATTATAAATACAAGTATACAATTTCCATACGCTCAAAAGGAGTGGGAAGGATAATACTTATTAATCCACCCCTTCTCCTGTAACCTTATTCCCATCACTTCTTATTTGTATAAAATATTCTTAGTTTCTTTAAAATGAATGCATCCAACAACACTGTCACTTGCAGTTCTTCCTTAATTTAAATCCTTTGAAACTTGAGACAATTTTGTTTCAAGATTAAACTCCAGTATACAAGTTTGTCCTTAAAACCTACTGTTTATAATAAAGAAAAAAATAGTTAAGTGAATTTGTATTTTGCAACACAGTTGAACCATTTTATTTAAGAGCAGATGAACTGAATTGTGATTAATCGATTCAGAACCTTGTGAATCGAAATCGAATCATTTCAGAGAATTGGTCATGATACCCAGCCATTTGATTGGAAAGTAAAAGCAAAAATAAAAGACAGAAAATAAAAAAAAATGAGGTGAAGGAGGACGAGTGTGAACAAATAAACAGGGAAGTGAAAGTAGGGGAGAAGTGAGTAAAAGATGTTGAAAGAAATGTGTGTGTAAAATAAAACATTATTCTGTGAAATTGGTGTAAAAAAGTTGTCTACAGCCTTCTGACTAATTAAATCACCTGTGTTCTGTTGGTGTTCAGTGAACTCTCCCTCCACTGGGCCTCTCACAGAAATCCTGCGACCCTCAGTTTGTGTGTGTGTATGTGTGTGTGTTGCCTAATGCACACAGTGACTAATGGAAATCTGTTGCTGGTTACATTGTGTTCATGTTTGTGGGTTAAGAAGCGGGTAGTCAGCCTAAGTTATGAAAGGTTGACACTCAGAGCATCAGAGAGCGAGTTTGTGTGTGTGTGCAGAACTGACATGTGTTTAGCAGGTGCTCCTAAGCCAACGATGACTCAATTTACAGAAAAACAGCCCATAGTACTGATATCTTCCTTTGCGTATTTAAACTATATTATGCGTAACGTTTCTTATGTTATGTTTCACATCTGCAGTTTATTCAAGCTTTTTCAGGTTTCTGTGCTCTCTTAAATGTTAATCATGACTATGCCCTAGGTGCATTTTTGTTTAAAAAACACATTTTCGTTTGTGAGAGTTCAACAACACACTGTGGAAATATTTAGAAAGACACAAAACAGATTTTTTTTTTCCAGATAAGCGCTGGCAGTCAACAGTTACTTTCTTTCTCTGGCAGCAAGTCTGGAAATCCTGAACTTCAAGGCTGATGCTTTAAATTGTTCTTAGTTGAAGATGAAACATGAGTTTCCTTAAAAATGACCACTAGTTCGTGCAATATCTTGCAAACAAACCAAAACATTAAAGTCTTTACCTTCGGCGGCAGGTGATAAGAGATACACTGGGACAGGTAATTCATTCAACCACCAAGCAACAAACAACCGGTGTGACAGCACATCACTTGCACCTAAGTACCGGGGAGATCTGCTGTGTAAAACTAATTGGTCTCTCTTCTATTTTTAATTTTTTTCACAAGGTGAGTGCTGATCTTCTCCACGAGTTGGTAACAAAGTGTCTACACCCCCCCTCCACCCCCACCCCTCGATACAAGCTTGTGAATTTAACTGAGAAGAAAACATCTAATTTACAACCGTTTCCAAAAAGTGTGAAACTCAAAATGAGAGGTTTTTCGTTGTATAAAATAGGGATTAGTAAATTTATTTGTGAAAAAACACAGTTAACATGTTCTTTACAGAAAATTACATGTTTGCTTGGAACTAGGAATGACTGACAAGTCCATTGTTTTCTTTCAGAACCGAAAAATAACCTGTACTCATTCTGCCATTAACGTTTTGGTTACATTTCTGAGCGGTGGACTGTGACTGGATTTAAGAGATGTTTATCATACAGACATTAGCTTGTCTGGAGAATATATTTATAAAATTTTAATTTGTCCCTACAACTCAAAGTGTACAAAGTGAAGATTTCACAGCGCCGTGCTATGTGTCAAACCACACTAAAAAAAGAAATCTCAGTCTTGTGTGGTCTGATACTCACTGTGGATGAGCAGCAGGTGTAGCCAGCAAACAGATGCATTAGGCACGATATTAATGCTTATACAAACAAGTTAACAGTTTGTATACGCTACGTGTTCAGTGGGGTCAAAATGGAAAATCTGATAAAGCATTCCCACAGC